GCCGCTCACTCTGGGAAGGCAGCCGCCGGCGGCTTCCAGGTCGCCGACACCCCATGCGCCCAGCTGGGGGAAGGTGCGACTTCAGGCAGAAGAGATGTCTTTGTTCCCTTAACTGACAGTGATTTTCTTCTGCGAAGAAAATACACAGAAGGTAGCGAATTGAATCTCAATTCACTGAATCTTATTAAACTGTTCTTGGGGAAAAAAAGATTTCAATAAAAATTTAGAAGGAAGAGAAGCAAGAAAGCTGCAAACTAGAAAATAAAGTGAGACGCCGCAGCGGGTCCCTGTTTGGAAGCAGCTGGGTGGGGGGTGGCTGAGGAGTTCGTTCCTCCCTGACGGTCGTGGGCAGGAGGCTGCCCAGCGGGAGCCGTCCCACCTGTCCTGGCGGGGTGTGCATGTGCGTCGCCAGGCGCTCCAGCAGCGGCCGAGTCTCGCTCCCGGGGAGTCCCAGTGAGGACCAGCCTGACAAGTCCCCACCGCAGCGCACCTGCCGCTCGGAGGGGCCGGCTCTGCCAGGACCGGGGTCCCTGCACCCGCGTCCGCCCCCGGTACCCTGCCCTCATCCCCGTCTCCAGCCCTTGCCCTGGGATTTTTACGGAGATAGACTTCACACACCTTAAAATTCGCCTTTTGAAAGTGTACAGTTTGTGGCTTTAGTACATTCATGGAGTGGCGCAGCCGCTGCCGCTGTCCAGGGAGCAACCCCAGCATTTAAAGCAGCAACTCCGGTGACCCCACACCCTTCCCAGCCCCCCGTCATCTGTCTGCCTCTGTGGATTCACCGCGCAGAGCGTTTCATAGAAATGGAAGCAGACAACACGCAGCCTTCGCTTTCGCCTCCTGCGACGCTTCCGGGGGCCTCCCCAGGGCGCGCATCAGCACGTCCCTCCTTTGCGCGGCTAAATGACATTCCGTTGTGCAGCTATGCAAATTCGGTTTATCTTCCGTTGGTCGGTAGACACTTGGGTTTTTCCATTTTTGGCAACTGTGAGTGATGCCGCTGTGGACGTTCACGCACAGGATTTCCGGGGACCGGTGTTCGCCCCGGGAGCGGGAGTGGCAGGGGCTCGGTGTCCTGTGTGTAAGATTCTGGGAAGTTGCCGAACTGTTTCCACGGCGGCATTCCGTTCCGCCTTCCCCCCGGTGGTGCAGGAGGGTCCCATCTCCCCACATCCTTGCCAACGCGTGCGATGGGCCGTCTGTTTGTTTGTAGCTCTCCTCGTGCACGTGAAGTCGGCAGTATGTTCTTAAGGGGCCCGTGGATACCCCAGAGTTTTGGGGGAGCTGGTGCCCCCTCTACCCACACCGTGGCCTGGCCCGCTGGTGCGTGTGTTGCATGACAGTCGTGACGGCTTTCGGCGTCCTCCTGCGGGACCCTCCTCCCGCGGATGGTGGGGTCATCTGCCGCCGTGGTGAATGGCTGATGGTACCGTGGTTGCCTTCCTGGGGTGAGGCCCTCCCAGAACCTCTTAATCTTGAGATGAGAGCGGCCCTGTGCTGAGCAGGGCCAGTGAGGAGAGTGTTCCTGATGCCGCCTGGTTTCAGAGCCAGCCCCAGGGATGAGGAGACAGGGCCTTCGTTGCTGCTCATGGGGTCCTTGGAAATGTGGCCAAGTCCTCCTTGGGCCAAGACGTAGCCTCTCACCAGGAAGTCCCCAAGAGCGTCTCGGGACCACAAGGTTCCAGGGAGCACACGCAGGCTGGTGGGCCTGGTGGCAGGCCACGGAACCCAGTCCAGCCTCCCCATGGGGGGGCCATCCCTGTTCCCCGCCCCCGCATTTCCTCTGTCCTGGCTGGTCCACCTGTCCTCTGTTCCCTTCTCTGAACAAATCAATCACTTTAAAAAGGAAGAAGCTGGACTTGAAGAGGAAAAACAGATTGACCTCCCCCTGCCTCTGTTGCAGTTGGTTGGTTTTTCTGCATAACAGCTGGGTGTCTCGGAAATGAGGGGGTTTCTATAGTAACCAATTACAGCCATGATTGGTGAAAAATCACAGACATATCCTGTGTGTGGAGTTATGCTGGGGAGGCAGGCACAGGCTTAGGTGCTGTAATTTTAATTTCCTGGGGCAATATTTCTCCAAGCGCTGATGGCAGGCAGGTTTGCTTGTCATTGCTTTTGATACAGCCTGCCCCGTGATACCTGCTGGGGCCTGGTGGTACCTGCTGGGGCCCGGTGGTACCTGCTAGGGCCTGGTGGCGCCTGGTGGGGCCTGCTGGGGTCTGCTCGGGCCTGCTGGGATCTGGTAGGGACTGGTGGGGCTTAGCAAGGCATGGTGGTACCTGGTTGTACCTAGGGGGGCCTGCTGGGGCCTGCTATGGCCTTCTGGGATCTGGTAGTGCCTGGTGGTGCTTGGTGGTACCTGCTGGGGCCTGCTGGGATCTGGTAGGGACTGGTGGGGCTTAGCAAGGCATGGTGGTACCTGGTTGTACCTAGGGGGGCCTGCTGGGGCCTGCTATGGCCTTCTGGGATCTGGTGGGGCCTGGTGGTACCTGGCTGTACCTGGGGGGGCCTGGTGGGGCCTGCTAGGGCCTTCTGGGATTTGGTAGTGCCTGGTGGTGCTTGGTGGTACCTGCTGGGGCCTGCTGGGATCTGGTAGGGACTGGTGGGGCTTAGCAAGGCATGGTGGTACCTGGTTGTACCTAGGGGGGTCTGCTGGGGCCTGCTATGGCCTTCTGGGATCTGGTGGTGCCTGGTGGTACCTGGTGGTACCTGGTTGTACCTAGTAGGGCCTGGTGGTACCTGGTGGTACCTGGTGGGGCCTAGTGGGACCTGCTGGGGCCTGCTGTTGGGTGAGGCCCTGTACCTGCTCAGAGAAGCATCTCATCCCCCTGGGGGCCAGCCTTCTGCCCAGATGTGCAGGCAGTGGGAGAAGCAGAGGCTGTAACCGGTTCCCACCCACACTGGCCACCTGCAGCGGCGGAGGCGAGCCCTCGGTGTGTGTATGGGGAGCTTCACACTGACCTACTTTCCTCCACGTGGGGACGGCGGCCCTGGTCCTGGCTACTTGTGCGGAGAAACTGCACACCGGCAGAAATGCCGCGGAAGCATTAGCTTGATGAGCAGCTCCTAATTTCTGCAGCGAAGCATTTTCATTCTGATTAAGAACTGGGGCCTTTTTATTTGTGGATTGGTCCTTTTTGGTAATTAGTGCTCATTAGCAAGAGTTTCTCTCAGCGTCCTGACGACCCAAGGGACCAACTTTTCCTGAGTTTCGGTGAGAGTCGGCCCGAGTGTCAGGGCTGAAGGACGAGGAGTGTGTGTGCGGGATGCACACTCACATAGATGCTCTCACACGCGGACCCACGGGCACAGACGCCCTGACACGTGTGGACACGCAGCTGCACTCACACGCACGTGGGCACACTCCCCACCGGTGCACTCCCACCTCTCCTGTGCACCCAGGGCACACGGGCACGCTGGCGTCTGCTCGCAGACGGCCTCTCACGGCATGGGCACGCTCACGCGCATGTGCCCGTCTTCACACCCCCACGCAGTGGCACGCTCACACACTGGCACACGGGTGCACTCACACCTGCACACTCACTGGACACACACACTGACTTGCACATGCTCAGACGGACACACCCGCGCTGTGTCACACACACACCAACACTCATACATGCACACTTGTGCATGCCCCTATGCACACGCTAGCACACGCTTGGGCCCTCCCTTGCGCACACTCACAGTGACACACACGCACCGATTCATTCCTTTTTAAAGTCACGTGATGCCTCATAAAGAAAAACCACCCAGCTTGTTTTCCAGGCCTGGTTCGGGCAGCTGTCAGGCTGGTGGCTCAGTGCACGGAACACCCTCCCCCACCCACCCGCCACTCTCATTAAAGTTTTCGGATTCATTTTAACTTTCAGACGTGAGGTTGGTGATGAGAAGTGACTTTGAACGACACCGATAATCAGTCCTCAATTATCTGCGCTGGGGGAAGAGGGAACGTGGGCCCGCAGCCTCCGGGCCCTTCCGCGTGGCTCCCGCTGTGCTCTGGGTTCTCGCGTGAGAGTCGAGTGTCCCCCAGTCCGGAGACAGCTCCGGGCCCAGTGACGGTGCCTCCCCGTGGGACTGGGTGGCTCTGGCTCCCCTGCAGCTCTGCCTCCTGGCCGGGTTCTGCCGGGTTTGCTCCTCCACCCTCCCGGCAGGCGGATGAGAGGGCTGCAGAGGGCACCTGCACGGAGGGTGAATGGGGGAGCGGAAATGTCACCAGAAGAAGCACTTCAGCGTCAATAAACTTCCAGCTTATCCACAGCAGATCTCATTTCCCGGGTGAGGTCCGGAGGAGGCCAGAAATAAGCAGCTTTCCACGTGCAGCATTTAAAGCGACACTCCTGCTTTCAAACACGCACATTCAGCGCGCTGCGTGGGGGGAGGGAAGCCTGTGGTGTCTGCGCCGTGATGTGCTCGGCAGGTGTAGGTGCCCAGGAGGTGCCCACGGGCTGTGTCCCAGGTGTTGTCTGACAGGTTGGGTCGCACTGAGAGTCTGGGGCCTCTGTCCCTCCCAGGCCGCAGGAGCGTGGACGTGAGGGAAAGCGCCTGGCCCTGGGGTCTGAGGTGGGGCTGGTCCCGTCCTGCTGTTGTTTCCCCTTGAGTCCTCCTGGGCCTCCTTTGTGTTATGGACAAGGACGGGGGGACAGGGGTGGTCTTCTAAAGTTGTATTGTCAGGGCTGACCCTGGGGCATTGGGAGATTCAGTCTCCGTCCCGTGGATGGGCTGCTGGGTCACCAGGCGGCTCTGTGCACAGCCTGTTCCTGGGCCCTGGGGTGCCAGGAGCCCCCCTGCCGCACACACGCCGCTGGCGGCACGCTCTCAAGATGCTGACGGGAAAGCCGCACGTGAGTCAGCCTGCGAAGGCAGCGGGTGGGGTGTTCGGTTTCCCTTTTGCAGTCGGCGTGAGCTCTGTGTGCAGTGTCCTCGTGGCGGGTGGAGACATGGCCCGGGCCCAGCCCCCGCCTCCCTCTGACCGTCTTCTCTCCTCCCTGCAGCTCCATGTCCCCCCCCTGGCCGGGCTGCTGCCTCGGAAGCCATGCTTGGATACTTATAGCCATGTTCCAGCTCGCCGTGGATTTCCCCGCCTGTGAGGCCCTGGGCCCAGGCCCCGAGTTCCGGCTCCTGCCGCGCCCGTCGCACCGGCCGCCCCGGTTGTGGAGTTTTAAGAGCGGACAGCCAGCGCGGGCCCCGGCCCCCGTGTGGAGCCCCCGGCCGCCCCGCATGGAGCGGATTCACGGGCAAATGCAGACTCCTCGGGCCAAACGGGCCCACAAGCCCAGGGACCAGGTGGCCGGGCTCGTGCCCAAAGGGGGGCTCTCCAAGCCCCCAGCTGCGGCCAAATCCAGCCCTTCCCTGGCCTCCCCCTCCTCGTCCTCACCCCCTGTGGCCGGCGGGGCCACGGAACAGCAGGCCCTGCTGCGGAGGAGCAGGAGGCACCTGCGGGGGGATGGTCTCAGCAGCTTTGACTTCAGAGGCGGCCGGCCCACGACGGAGGCCGAGTTCATCGCCTGGGGGCCCACGGGGGACGAGGAGGGCCTGGAGTCCAACACGTTTCCGGGCATTTACGGCCCCACCACGGTCTCTATCTTACAAACGCGGAAGACAACTGTGGCCGCCACCACCACCACCACCACGGCCACCCCAACGACGCTGCAGACTAAGGGGCTCACCGAGTCCCTGGACCCCCGGAAAAGGATCCCGGTCGGGGTTAGCACAACAGAGCCTTCCACCAGTCCCAGCGGCGATGGGCAGAGCATCAAGCCCCCACGGATCCTGGGGGAGACCTCAGGTACGGCCACCTCTTTTCTGGTTGGAGTCTGCTTGGGGTTGGGGGCTGGGGGCCTGGCTGGGGGGATGCCGAGATGTTCTAGGGGTGACACTGCATATGGAAGCCCGGAGCGAAACGGGGCGTTATGTGTGCGTGAAGTTGCACGCGCGTGTGTACTGTGTACTGGCAAGCACAGGTGTGCCCGACGGGGAAGAGCTTCCCTTAGTGTCCACGTAGAAGTGGACGCCGTACCCACCGTTGGGGACCAGCTGAGTCCCCGCAGACACAGAGCCATGTCTTCTGGAGCTGTGGAACTTCATCTGCTGGGACGGCCCAGGAGTAAGATGTGGGCACGTCTCATGGTGGAGATGACGGGCCCTGGGGGGGTCACCAAAACCCTCGGGGGTGTGGGCCCTATGGGGCGTGCCTGCCAGCTTGGCCTTGGTCAGGATTAGGAATGGCCTTAAATAGCAGAAAAGACTGAGGCTGGGTAAAAGGAGGAACTTCCAATGGTGTTAACTGAAGCTTCGCACACAGTGACTCAGGTGGCAGAGTTCTCTTCCCTGGGGCCAGCTTAGGAGGGCGTTTGGAGGCTGGAGAGTTTTCTGCTGCTATATTCTAGCTGCATGTGGACAGCCACAGGTCTTTGGCTTTGAAATATTTCCTTCCGTGTAGTTTTGTTTTTCTTTTTCCTCCTGTACCTGTCCTCCAACCCTTAGAAATCTCCCAAGCCAGAGCTTGTCCCTGCACTGGTCGCCTGCACCGGCGTGGCCCGGGCATCATCGTAGGGCTGGTGGGAGAGCTCAGAGCCCCAGACCCGGGCTGTTCTCACCCAGCTCCGGCCTCCTCTGCCTCTGTGAACAGGCCATGGCCTGACGCCCCAGGGTGACGCGGCAGTTCACGACTCCGAGCTGTGCGTGCACATCCTAGACAAACAGTGATCTTGGCTAACTTTGTAAAACAGGAGGCCAACGCCAGGCATCCGCACAAAAGGGGCGGGCACGCTGCCGTCTCCTCACACCTGCTCGTCCGCCCCCTCGCGGTGTGGGCTCCTACGGGCCCCACACGGCCTCTTTGGGCTAAAGGGGGAGGAAGGGAACTGCTCTTCAGAGGTCACCTGCGGCACGGCTGGCGCAGCGTCCCCGCCCTCTCTGTCTCACCTTGGGCAGGACGGCAGTGCTCAGTGGTTGGACAGCTATTCATGGGTTGGGCGGCTTTTGTCCTTCACGGGATAGCTGGTGACCTACTTCCTTCCTTCACCTGGATGAGAGAACCTGCAGTTTTTATTCTGAGCTCCTCTTCCCTCGAGAGCAACATGTCTATGAAAGCACAATCGAGCTTCATGCCGATGCCCGGCAGGGGGCTGGGAGCTTGGGAGCACCCTGGCGAATGTTCCAGAGGCCCTGCCTAGGTGGCCTCCCCTGCAGCCTGCATCGGGAATCTGCAGAGCCCCGGGCCACAGTTCCTCATCCCGTGTAGGACCCTGCGAGCAGCTTCAAAGCATCGTCTTTACCTCGGTAAACTCACAAGCCATCGTGCCATCCTCTCACTTAACTGCCACCTCCTCTGTGTACGTCCCTGACGCTGTAGACATGGATGAGGAAGCAAGTTCCCATTTATTCCAAATTACATTTGTTATTGCTAAAGTTAAACGCCCGGGACAGCATTATAAGGCTTAGCAAATGAATTCACAGTACATTGCATGCCGCTAATCCAACTCGACAGATGCTTATCTTGGAAAAGATTTATGGTTCTCCATGATATAATCTGGTGCTAGATTAATTTGTTTAGCAAAACAAATTTAAGAGGAGAAAAATATGGATGTTTGTTTCTAATGCAAAGAAGTATTAATTCTTGAAAGTGACGCTGGTCTGCAGAGGAGGGGAGGAGGCAGTTCACAGTGGCCCTCAGCCTCCAGGCCAGGCAAGGGGAAGGGAGGAAATGCCGAGATGACTCTTCCCACGGGGTCTGTCATAGCCCAGCTGGTACCAGCTGCAGAAGTGAATGACTCAAGCAGAAGCAATTCAAGTTTGACACTGGGAAGAACTGGCTACTGATGCAGGAGGTGAGCTGTTTGCTCAGGCTACTGAGGACAGGCTGTATATCTCCTTATCTGGAGCTCCTTCTTAGATGGAAGGGTGGGGTAGGGCAGGAAAACTGAACTGGATGGAAAAGGTGGTGGAGCAGAGGGCTGGATTCCCCCAAATCCCTTTGCCTCAGCAATCATCAGATATAACCTGCTCCCCAACTCTCTGTTCAGTGTGACCACTACTCACACTTCTCAGACACTGAAGGCAGCGCGAGTGGTCTTGGGGATCCCAGAGCTGCAGTTTGGGAAGCCAGGCATTGCTGTGGTCAGCAGCGCCTGCCTCAAGGCTGAGGATGTGGCAGAGAATCTGGGCTCTACTGCATGTCGCCATGTGACCCTGGGAAAGGTCTCTTGGTTCCCTTTGCTTCACCAGCAAAATTGAAGCTCAGAACTATTTCTCCTAAACAGTTGCTGTGGGATTCAGTGGATCAACACTAAGCATAAAATAAAGTGCCTGACGCCTAAGAATCCTCCATACACGTCAGTTGTTTTTATACCCAGCAAGAGTGGCTCTGGAAAGGGCTGGCAGTGTCGAAGGCAGAACAGACCACCAGGGACTTGGGGGTCTTTTCAACTCAGACACACTCAGCTTTGCCCACTCACTGCTGGGGCCACCCCAGAATTTGGAATTGGAAATTTAGAAAGTGATACAAAGCATTCATTAAATCAGTTCTGCTGTCCAAAGAGAGATCTTTGGAATCATATTTTGGGATGTGTGAATTTTATTTTTGCTTCTGTCGAGAAATGTTTAGAAGGGACATGTTACATTTTCCTGTTTGTCCGTAGTACAGACATTGATGGACACAGAAAGGACAGGTGTCTGGTGATTTGGGGCACTCGGATTTCTCTGGAACTAACGTTACATGGAATAGCTGCTGGAATGGTCAAAGGGGCCTCTCTCAGGAATCACCCTGCAGGTGAAGTAGTTGGGAAGTCTCCCTGAGTTGTAGGGTAGTGGTTCAGAGTCCCACTGCCTGCCTTCACATTCCCGGCTTCAGCTCGTAATAGCCATGTAAACTTGGCCAACTTGCTTGTTGTCTCTGTGCCTCGGTGGGAATGTAGAGCTCACCACCTCATAATGTTGTTGTGAAGATTAGATGAGACTGTGTGTGTGAAGTACTTGGTCCCTGGCACGTAGTAGTTTCTCAGTGTGTGCTTGCTGCTGTTAATGGGATTGTGATGATGATGATGATGGTAATGATGTGATGCTGATGATGGAGAATTTGGTGATGGTGATGATGGTGATGATGGTGATGGTAATGATGTGATGCTGATGATGGGGAATTTGGTGATGGTGATGATGGTGATGGTGATGATGGTGGTGGTGACGATGGTCATGATGATGATGATGATGGTGATGGTGATGATGGTGATAATGGTGAATTTGGTGGTGAGAGTGATGATGACCATGGTGAAGATGATGACATCATAGCCATCATATGGCTAACATTGTGCTTATTTGCTGCCACCAGCTTTGCTGCTTCATTGAGGGGTCATTCGATGGGATCATTTGATGGAGTCCTGAGACCCGCCCCTGGCCTTTTGCTCTGTGCAGGGGTGTAGATGGCACTAGCCAGGAATGGCTCGGGTGGAAAATCACCTGGCGCAGGTTCACGGAGGCGTTGAGATCCAGCCCCACAGGCATGCTGGCAGAAGGTGACCGTCCGATGGGGCAGAAGTTCGCTTGAGGTCGGGAGAGGAGGGCTCCCTCCCGCGCGGCTCCGTCCTCCCGTGACAGCTCTCTTGCTGGTCAGGTTCTGAATCTGGAATCAGAGTCTGCTGGGAGCAAAACAAAAAGTCATTGAGCTTTTATCTTAAAACTTACAAAGCAAACGTGGGGAATTCAAGCCAGCTGAGTTAGGTTACTGAATACGCCCACTGTGGGAGTGCCTGGGCGTGGGTGCTTGGCCTGCAGTTAGTGCGTGGTGAGGGGTTCCCAACCTCACGTTCTTAGACCCTGCCTGCCGGCACCGGCTTGAGGCTCCCCGGCCTGCCAGAGGGAGCTGGCACTGTCCAAGCTGTGTGCATTCCTTCTCTCAGAAGGCACAGCAGCCAGGAGGGGCCAAAGCCCAGTAGGTCCCCACCACCATTCAAGGTTTGTTCCCATTCAGTTGATCACGTCTCTGTGACATCCAGCACCTCAAGGATGAGATGGTTCAGATGTCATCCAAGTCCTGCCTGGAAATTTTTACATTGGAATTCACTCATGCATTTCCAAGGATGATTTCCAAGTTGCTTTGTCCTTGTCACCAGTGGGGAGGGGAAAGGGAGGCCTTCAGTGTCCTTTAGGTATGTCCCTCTGTAAGCACAAGGGACAAGCTGGTGTCGTTTTCTCTGCACCACGATGGTCAGCTGACCTCAGCAGCCGTGCAGGCCAGCCAACCTCAGAGGCAAGTCTCGCAATGATGAAACATTTTCTAAATACCAGAATCGGAGTGGAAGGAATGAGAAGCAGATGTAACCGGGAGAGACGTGCTCCTTTCCCTTCTGTTTAGAGCCGCGGTGGCGGTTAAAATGCTGAGCCCCTTTTAATTAAGTTGCTGGGTGTTTGCTGCCAGGGAAGTGGATGTGTCCTTAATTTAAAGATATTTGAAGCAAATGACTTCGAAAGTTTTGAGTGGCTTAATTGGGATGGAAGCAGCAAAGAGCAAATGAGTATCTGGTGCTCTGTGAAATGTCCTAAACTTCGTAGACGGCCAGGCCGGTGCTGAGGGTCTTCATCGTGACTTTCTGAGTGGAGCAGGCACAGAACATCCTGGAGCTATGGTTTTCGGTGGTGACCCGCGCCAGGCTGTTCCGCAGCTCTCTGGGCCCGTGCACCCTTGAGATCACCCCCCTGCTTTTGCTGAGCACAGTTGTGTTCGCACCGAATGGGTAAATGAGCTCTGACTCATCAAAGCCTTGCTGGCGACGACTGTATCGCGGGCCTCCT